AGCGGCCTCCGGGCGAAAGCAACACCCTGGCGACTCCTCTACCCACACCGGCACAGCCCTGGCTCGGCCCCGGCGGGATCGGGGAGGCAGAAGAAGGCAGCCGGAGCCCGAGGCAGAAGCAGCAGGAGCCGCTTCCAGGGCTATCCAGAGCAGCCGCTCGGAAACCCAAGGAGAAAGAAAGATTTTGTTAAACGACTTCAACTGTGAATTTTTTCTGCTTCAAGGACTGAAGGGAGCGAAGGCGGAATGGAAACCCTGCGCAGCGCAGCCAGGGGAAGCAATGGGATGAGCCAGAGCGGTGCAGGGTGGAGGTTGCCAGCTCAGCCCTCCCGCCAGCCCTGGGGACGAGCATCCCTCACCTCGTCCACGCAGGCGTCACCACCTTCGGCCCAGCCCTGCCAGAGCAGGGGGAATTTGGTCCTAACAGACGGTCTCCGGGGTCCCGGCGACTCCAGCTGCTTCCCCCAGCCAGCAGTGCCGGAGCGCCCGGGAGGGCTGGAGGAAGGAGACAGGAGGAGAAGGAAAGCTGTGGTGGTTTGGTCTCTCGAGCCCCCAGCGTCCCTTGCAGACAGTCCCACAGCCCCGACAGAGCTAGAACAAAGCTAAATTGGCAAGAGAAACCGGAGGCGGCTGCAGAAACACAGAGTAACCGAGATGTCAGGACATGGCTCCGGCGGGCGACGGCAGAGCACATGGGAGAAGGGATGTTGGGGCAGAGAGAGAAACACACACGGAGAGGGCCCGGCACAGGCCGGGGGCTCGGCTGCCAGCCCTGGCCCCGGCCACTCCGCGGCTCAGATGGCCTCCACGTAGTTGGCGGGGAGCATGCCCGTGTCACCCGTGCGCTCCACCGTGCCGTACATCCACCCGTCGTCGATCTGCTGCACGTTGATGATGGTGTCGCCATCCTGGAAGGAGACTTCGTCTTCATCAGCCGCGTTGTAGTCGTAGACAGCGCGGAAACGCTTCTGCGGGGAGAGAGGGGTCAGCGGGCACAGACCCTCCCCATGCCCTGCCCCAGGTGGGCAGAGCCGCCATCTGTGGGGGGTCCTGGGGCAAGGGGGGGTGAAGGGCCTGGGGAGGGGTCTGGAGCACGAGTCTGATGAGGAGCGGCTGGGGCAACTGGGGTTGTTCAGTCTGGAAAAGAGGAGGCTGAGGGGGGACCTTATCGCTCTCTACAGCTCCCTGACAGGAGGGTGTAGTGAGGCAGGTGTTGCTCTCTTCTCCCAAGTAACCAGCGATAGGATGAGAGGCAATGGCCTCAAGCTGCATCAGGGGAGGTTTAGACTGGATATTGGGAAAAATTCCTTTACTGAAAGAGTTGTGAAGCATTGGACCAGGCTGCGCAGGGCAGTGGTGGAGTCCCCATCCCTGGACGGGTTCAAAAACAGCGTAGATGTGGCACTTTGGGACACGGTTTAGCAGGCACGGTGGTGTTGGGGTGAGAGTTAGGCTGGATGATCTTAGAGGTCTTTTCCAACCTCAGTGATTTTATGATTCTACGAAGGGGCCGTGCTGAGCCCCACACAAGAGCTGTGCCGGATCCGGGAGGTTTTCACTCAACACAGGGATGCTGGTGCCAGTGACAGCCGTGGCAAGCAGCAGCCAGGCACCCCGCGTTCCACCCGCCAGCCCCCCTCAAACCTGCTCTTCCCCTGCGCAGCAGCAAGCGGAGCAAACGCTGACCCCGGGGGCG